AGGATCACTTCTCTGTTATTTCCTGCCAAAGGAGTCTAAGATTAGCCTATTCCATGAGGAAACTTCAGAGAACACCAAAATGGAGATAATCTACAAAATAACTGTCCTGTATCTTCAAAAGTGTAAAGGTCATGGAAGTCAAGGAAAGACTGAGGAACTGCGATATTCTAGTCTGAAGACCACAAAAAGCCATGACAACTAATGAAAAGTGTGATTCTGAACTGGATCTTATGGCTATAAAGAACACGCAAAGGGCAATTGGCTTAACTTCAATGGAGGGTGGTAATGCCACAATGCTAAATTAACTTTCTGGTTTGGTCAGTTGTACTGAGTTATCCAAGAGAATATGCTTGTTTGTAGGAAACATACACTGAAGAATTCAGGGGTGATGGAACATCTTATCTGCAACTCTCTCTCAGATGGTTCCAGAAAATATTTATGGTGTCCTGCAACTTTGCTGTAAATATGAGATTGTTTCAACTACAAAATTAAATATAGCACAGCCAGTGTGCCTCAGTGGTTGAGCATCGACCCATGAACCAAGAGTTTACCAGTTCGATTCCTGGTCAGGGCACATGTCTGAGTTTCGGGCTCAGTCCCCAGTGGGCGGCATGCAGGAGGCAGCCGATTGATGACACTCTCTCATCATTGATGTTTCTCTCTCTCCCTCTTCCTAGCTCTCTGAAATGAATAAAAATGTTTTTTTAATTAAATATAAATCCATATTCACATAAAATAAGCTAGTATAAGCAAAGGTAAACAACTTTTTAAACAGCAAAATTTCCAGGCAAATGGAAATGAAAAAAAAAAAAAAGCTGGGATAGCAATACTTACATCTGAAAAAAATAGACCTCAAAGTGAAGGCCACAACAAGAGATAAGGAAGACCACTTCATAATACTAAAGGGATCAATACAAGAAGCTATAACTCTGGTAAACATATATGCACCCAATACAGGAGCATCTAAACATATAAAAAAACTTCTGAGGATATCAAGGAGAGGTTGACAGCAATACAATCACAGTAGGGGACTGACAACACTGGATAAATCTTCTAGACAAAAAATCAACAAGGAAACAGCAATCCTAAATGACAGGCTAGAACAGATGAAACTGGTATCTTCCACCCCAAAGCTACAGAATTTACATTCTTCTCAAGTGCACACGGGGCATTTTCAAAGATTGACCTCATGTTAGGACACAAGCTAAATCTCTACAAATTCAAGAAAACTGAAAAAACATCAAGCACCTTCTCAGACCACAATGGCATGGAATTAGAAATTAGTTACAATAAAAACACTCAAAAACAATCAAATACCTGGAGGCTAAATAGCTTGCTATCTTACATAATAAAAGTATAATATGCAAAGCGACCAAAAGGCAGAATGAGCAGTCGCTATGACACGCACTGACCACCAGGGGGCAGACGCTCAACGCAGGAGCTGCCCCCTGGTGGTCAGTACACTCCAACGGGGGAGCACCGCTTAACCACAAGCTGGCCTGACAACTGGCGAGCACAGCTGCCCACCACCACCACAGCAGCACTAAGGATATCCAACTGACAGCATAGGCCCTCTCCCTGAAAAGCCATCAGTCAGACATCCCCCAAGGGCTCCCAGACTGCGAAAGGGCACAGGCCAGGCTGAGGGACACCCTGCCAGACTCATGCGCACGCGCACACACACACACACACAGACACACACACACACACACACACACACACAGTGCACAAATGTCGGGCCTCTAGTTAAACAATGATTGGGTTACCAAGGAGATCAAAGAAGAAATTTAAAAATAAAAACACCTTGGAAACAAATGAAAATGAACATAAAACAATCTAAAATCTATGTGACACAGTGAAAGCAGTCCTGAGAGGGAAGCTCATAGCACTATAGGCCTACCTCAAAAAAACAAGAAAAAGTGGTAATAAGTTATCTAAAACTACAACTTAAAGGATTAGAAAAAGAATAACAAGAAACGCCCAGAATAAGTAGAAGATAATAATAATGATCAGAGTTGAAATAAATGATAAAGAGACCAAAAAAAAAAACCAATACAAAATATCAATAAAACCAAGAGCTGGTTCTTCGAAAGGATAAACAAGATTGATGAACCTCTAACCAGACTCACCAGGAAACAGAGAAAGAGGACCCAAATAAACAAAATCAGAAACAGAAAGAGGTGAAGTAACAACTGACCCCACAGAAATACAACGGATCGTAAAAAAAATCATGAACTACTTTATTCCAACAAATGGGACAGCCTGGACAAAATGGACATATTCCTAGAAAAATACAACCTTCCAAAACTCAATCAGGAAGAATCAGAAAACCTGAATAGGCCAATAACTACTCATGAAATTGAAGCAATAATCAAAAAACTCCTAGGCAACAAAAGCCCTGGTCCAGATGGGTTCATAGAAGAGTTTTACCAAATACTCAAAGAAGAACACCTATTCTCCTCAAACTATTCCAAAAAGTTCAAGAGGAAAGAACACTTCCAAACTCTTCCTAAGAGGCCAGCATTACCCTAATTCCAAAACCAGATAAAGACACTACAAACAAAGAAAACAACAGGCCAATATCCCTGATGAACATAGACGCTAAAATCCTCAAGAAAATTTTAGCAAATCAGATCCTGCAATACATTAAATAGATCATACATCATGACCAATTGGGATTTCTTCTGGGGATGCAAGTCTGGTACAATATTTGCAAATCAATAATGTTATATTGACAAACAGATTGCAAAACCAAAATCACATGATCATATCAACTGATGCAGAAAAAGCATTCGACAAAATCCAACACCCTTTTTTGATAAAAACTCTCAGCAAAGTTGGAATAGAGTGATCATACCTCAAAATAATAAAGGCCATATATGACAAACATACAGCCAACATCATAGTCAATGGGCAAAAACTAAAACCATTACCCCTAAGAACAGGAGCAAGAAAGGGATGTCCACTTTCCCCACTCTTGTTCAACATAGTACTCACTTCCAATCAGACAAGAAGAAACAAAAGGCATCCAAATTGGAAAGGAGGGAGTAATACTGTTATTATTTGCAGATAACATGCTATTGTACAT